TTTTAAATATTTTGCAAAATATTCTTTGGGTTGTTTAAGTTATATTAAAATTTATATTTAAGTTGACCCTGTAATGTTATATTTAAATTAAAATTTTAAGTATTTTATACAAATTGTTCCAAAATCGTATCTTTAAAATGATAATGGTTTACATCCAACAATATATTAAAACTAATAAATTAAGTATAATATATTATAATTTAAAAAACATAACTTTATTAGTAGAAGTAAAGATATTATTTTAATATTGAAATTTAGTTTATATATGATTACATTTTAGGTTTGATATTTATTTAACCTAATTAACTAAATTATAATTATTATTATAAAGAAATTGAAAAGTCATGAAAGTTTCAAATGAATATGGTGAAAAGGAAAATAAATGGGAGTTTTAAATGAATGTGGTGCAAGAAAAAATGCTTCCTTTATAACTATACTAGACGAATTCACGCGTATTGTGCAGTGAAGATTAAAAATATATTGTTAAAATATTGAAAAATATATATTTAAAATGGTTATTTTATTGACATTAACTTTGAGATAATATTTTTACACACACACACACATATCTATATATATATATATATATATATATATATATATATATCTATATATATATATATATATATATATATAATTTTTATTATTTTAAACAATAACATTCATTGACATCAACCCACGTTCCTTATTAATAGAATTAAATTTAATTATCTGTTTAATATTATTTTTAACAATTATTATTAGTGATTAATTATATTTTTACTTATGTGATCATTTTCTAACTTTAATAATGATGTTCATTTAAAATACAATTTATTTATAGCTAAATGTAATTTATAATTTGATGTTATTAACATTTAAAATTGGTATTCATTAATTTTAAACCACTTATTATTAATAATAAGTTAACAAAGACTTTTAAAAAATACTTAATATTATTATTAAACTATGAAACATACACTAAATAGGAAAGTAATAAAATAGACAATTTACATTTCAAAAGAGACTTGCTTGGAAATATGACATATCCATGTAATTTGATTTTATTATTTATAATTATTGTTTATTAATTTTAAAACTACTTGTTATTACTAATAAGTGAAAGAAACTTTAAAAAAACACTTATTGTTATAATTAAAATGTTAAACATAACTAAAAAATAAAGTGATAAGATAAACAGTTTGCATTTTAAAAAAGACATACATGGATAATATGGATAATATGAAATATCCATGATTTTTAATTAATTATTGTTTTGAAGCAACATGAAAATACAAACATATATACAATAGTTAATTATATATAATATATATATATATATATATATATATATATATATATATATATATCATCTTCCATAACATATGATTGATAACATGAATCTAATCTAATTTACAATAAAATTTCAACCACAACATACAATGATATTTTTAAAAGAATACTTAAATCAAGAAAATACAAAAAAGAATTTGTATATAACAAAATTACAAATTAAAAACTTCAACATAATAACATGGCTTGAAAATTTGTTTAAAGCCCTCAAACCAACACAAAAAACTTTAAACTTGTTTTCTTTGTGAATTTTGTATATGATTTGTATTTGTGTATCTACTAAAAAAAGATTGCCCTTCTTATAGTAGAGTATCCATTAATTATTTATTAAATATATTATATAAGTTATAAAACCTTTGAATTGTTAATCATTATTAAGAGTCTTTTGAGTGGTATTCATTAAAATATGATGTTTCAAATGCATGAGGTGTTTGCAAATTTTTATGGATGTTTCAAATGCATGGGGTTCAAGGAAAAATGTTAGCTTTATAAGTATGTATGATGATATGAAATATAAAGTGGTAAGATATACCATTTGCATTTTAAGAAAGGCGTACATGGATAATATGAATAATATGACATATCCATGATTTTTAATTAATTATTGTTTTGAAGCAACATGAACATACAAACATGTATACAATAGTTAATTAAATATTATATATCACCTTCCATAACATATGATCGATAACATGAATCTAATATAATTTACATTAAAATTTCAACAACAACATACAATGATATTCTTAAAAGGATACCTAAATCAAGAAAATACAAAAAAAGAATTAGTATATAACAAACTTACAAATTAAAAACTTCAACATAATAACATGGCTCGAAAAATTGTTCAAAACCCTCAAACCAACACAAAAAACTTTAAACTTGTTTTCTTTGTGAATTTTGTATGTCATTTTTATTTGTGTGTCTACAAAAAAAGATTGACTTTTTTATAGTAGAGTATCCATTAATTGTTTATTAAATATATTATGTAAGTTATAAAACATTTGCATTGTTAATAATTATTAAGAGACTTTTGAGTGGTATTCATTAAAATAGAAGGTTTCAAATGCATGAGGTGTTTGCAAATTTTTATGGGGTTTTCAAATGCGTGAGGTTCAAGGAAAAATACTAGCTTTATAAGTATGTATGATAATGATAATATATATATATATATATATATATATATATATATATATACACACACACACACTAAATGTGTGCACGTGCAAACCAGCAATTAAAATAATTATTAGATTTTATTATTACTTATTATGTAATAAAAAAATTACTATTTTAATTAAAATATTTATGTTTAGAACTTATATTTATATTGTATTTTAAATTAATTATTATCTGTATCTAGTTTAAGAGATATAAATTAACTTATATTGATGAATTTAATATTTTAAAATTGTTATTTTGCTCCAAATTAATTTTTTAATAACCTTTCTTAATTTTAGTCTTCAAAATTTTGGTAAGTATTAATGGTTTTTGTTATACATAATTGATTTTTACAAAAAGCTTTGTACGTTGTATCTCTTAAAATTCAATATATGACTAATATATATTATATATATATATATATATATATATATATATATATATATATATATATATATATATATATATATATATATATATATGTATATATTAGTTTATAACCCGTGAGAATCACAGTTAAAAATTTAATTAAACCTTCATACAAAAAAATTCAAAATTATTAATTAACTATCTTAAATAAATTATTAATTAAGAGATATCTTTAATTATATAAAATTATAATCGTTAATTTAAATAAATACGTGACCTTATAATATGTATTAAATTTATTTTAATTTTTATTCTAATGTTATTAATTTAATGTAATTGGAGTGAGAAATTTGAAATTTGAAATTTGAAATGGAGAATCAATAGGTTGACAAGTAGCATAAAATTAATTAGGATCACTCATAGAATGACACATGAAAAATGGAGAATAAATCTATTCTTTTATTAGAATATATATATATATATATATATATATATATATATATATATATATATATATATATATATATATATATATATAGGAATGATCTTTTATGGCACCTTTGTAAATGAATGGAAAAATTAAACATCGGGGTATGGTTCTAAAATTAATCTAAAGGAATTTATGGTACTGAAAAATCATCCCCCCCCCCCCCCAATCAATTGATGCTCTCTTTCTTTCAAATCCATCTATCGTCTTCGTCTCATTATCGCTATTTATCTTATAGCTTCGTTGCCATTGTTGCCCAAGAACCAACATCTGAAATCTATGATTTCCTCCGTCAACTATCTTTATTCATTGAATCGACTAAGGTGAAGACTCTAAACGACTCGTTGAAATCTAAGATCCTTTGAATCATAGTTATAATTTAATTAAACCTTCATACAAAAAATTCAAACATATTAATTAACTATCTTAAATAAATTATTAATTAAGAGATACTTTTTAGTTATATAAAATTATAATTGTTAATTTAAATAAATACGTAACCTTATAATATGTATTAAATTTATTTTAATTTTTATTCTAATGTTATTAATTTATGTAATTGAAGTGAGAAATTTAAAATTTGAAATTTGAAATGGAGAGTCAATACACAAGTGGCATAAAATTAATTAGGATGACTCATAGAATGATACATGGCAAATGGAGAATAAATCTATTCTTTTAGTAGAATATATATATATATATATATATATATATATATATATATATATATATATATATATATATATATATACACATATAGGAATGATCATTTGAGCACTTATAGTTTCCTGAGAACCCGAGAACTAATAGTGGACTGACAGATTAAAAAAATTAAGGGTTAAGATCTTTTATGGCACCTTTGTAAATAAATGGAAAAAGTAAACACGGGGGTATGGTTCTGAAATTAATCTAAGGGAATTTATGGTACAGAAAAATCGTTCCCCCCCCCCCCCCAATCAATTGATGCTCTCTTTCTTTCAAATCCATTGATCGTCTTCGTCTCATTATCGCTCTTTCTCTTATAGCTTCATCGCCATTGTTGCCCAAGAACCAGCATCTGAAATCTATGATTTCCTCCGTTAACTATCTTTATTCATTGAATCGACTAATGTGAAGACTCTAAACGACTCGTTGAAATCTAAGATCCTTTGAATCTGATTTCTAAGCCATAAAATCCGGCGACTTTTCCATTTAGGTCGTCTGATCATCGACGAGCACATTGCAAGGTGAAATTTAGGCTACCAAACTATCTAGATCTGGCATCAGACCCTTAAGAGTCACCGTCTGAAATATTGGACGAGCTAAGATTTGAGGATGATATATATTGTACTTATATTGACATTGAGAAGCTCACGTCCAATTAAACGATGACGGTACTCTGGATAATGGTCAAATGAACAGTGCTCTAACACTGGGCGCCCCTCCACATTTGTCGTCTCCGTGACACCCTTCATATTGTCTATACCGTCTCGAGTAAGATTCTTCTCGCCTGCAATTTATCTGTTTCTCATCACTCTAGTTTAGCAAAGGTATTTACTAGGTAAAAGTATGTTCTAATGATGAGTGCCACCAACGAACATTAGTTGGTCATCCCTTTCAGAATATTATAAGATATTCACCAAAGAGACCGGTTGAGATTGATGCTAATGGGATGAATCTAGAGTCAAACACTAGATCTACCTCTGGGGCTAAAAGTCAAACCATTGGAGCCAAAAGGCAAAAGAAAACAAACGAAAGTTTAAATGATACATGTTTACAAATAAATGGTCATCCTCATACAAATGCTTTGGCTTCTAAAAATGTAACTACAACCAATTCTAACCTGGAAATCGAGATTGAAAAATCTCTTTCTAGTGGGCAGCAGGATACAGTGAATTTGAAAAAACATCCTTCTGCCATTTGTCATTCTTCTAGTAAGATAGAGGTGAGTTTTAGAGCCAAATTTTTTAGTCTGTTTAAAAAAAGATGACCTAAGAATCTTGATAGGTTAAGCTTACATTGTTTATTTTATTATATTGTATAGGGAAGTGGACCATTTGTGTCTTTTGCCCAAGGGAAGGAAGTAGCGGGGTCTTTGGCCAACTTCTCTAAGGTTACACATGTTCACAATAATTTTATTCAGTGGTATGTTATATTGTTATTGAGCTTACAACATTAAAATGCAGCAGTACTGATAAAGAGGGTGTTGGTCTTGGCTGTTATATGGAGACATGCCAAAGAAGTTACCACGTGCCCTGTGCATATTACATTCCTGGGTGCATATGGGATGTAAGCCACTATTTATGCACACTTATTACTGTTATAATTCTTATAAAAGGTTTTTAATTTTATGGATTTTATAGGACACCTATTTAATGTTGTGTCTAAGGCATTGAAAAATGAAATTTCCAAGCGAAATGCTGGAAGATGATGGGAAGCAAGATATTCAAAAAAGGTATCATTTTTTAAATATAACTTTTCTATGTATTTTTGTTTATGTTTGTCATTCTGATTACAGAACATCTACACATCTGAATCTCTGCACAATGCCGTTGGATGTCGGACAAAGTTTGGTGTTTTGTGGTTCTAATCTTTTTACAGAAGAAAATGTTGGTATAAAAGTTGTTCTTGTTAGAATTAATGTTTGTTCATCATGGGTTTCTTTTAATCCACACCTTTGAAATTGCAGTGTTTGCTGGTTGATTTTGCAAGCAATAATCAAACAGTAGCGTTCAGATACTAGAAACCTAATGTTACCCATGTCATTGCTGCTACAGATTCAAATGGTGCATGTACAAGGATATATAAAGTTCTGATGACTATTTTGAATGGAACATGAATTGTTACTGTGGACTGTAAGGTTTCTAATATTAGACTCTTTACCCCAGTAATTGATGTTTTTTAGTTTTTAATGATATTTGTTATGTTTTCAGGGGTAAAAGCTTGTATGGAAGCCATGTGTCTTATGAATGAAGAACCATATGAAGTTCATCTAAATACCCATGGTTGTATTGGTGGCTCTAAAGCTGGGAGGCTAAGAGTCCTAAATAATGTAAGACCAATCTTTCCCTTTAAAATTAGTGGATGATCACGGAAGATATATTTCTCTCCTTCAATTTGTTTAGGAAATCATCATTAGTAATCAATGTTGCAAAGGTATCCAGGCTTGGGTCGGTTGGTAAACTAGGGACTAGTTGGCTTTCCTAAGTTGTATCACAATTAATTTCAAAATATTTGAATATAGGCAATACATTAGCAAAATAAGTTGATAATAAGCTGAAAATAAAACGTAATCAAGTGTACAACACCATAGTAGTGTAATAAGTTATGTTACAAAAAGTAAAGGGAAATCTGCATAAAAGTCCCTATATTTGGCTCTATTAACAATAAAGCAACCCCTAATTTTTTTTACCTTGTAACTCTACTTACTCTCATATTCTATAACTCAATAAGATTAAATTCTACAAATAACTTATCTTGTTATATTAATTTACAATTGTTGCTGTTCAAGTACCACAAATCACAACAGAAGTTTCAAAACCTATTGACAACATTAACAACAATACAGACTCAAATACCATTCCTACTTTTGGAATTGAAGATCTATTCAAAGATTCACCTTCTCTCTCACAACCTAACACAACATCATAGAAGCCTCAGAATGATGTTAAAATGATATTATGAGTCTCTTTGAAAAGAGCAATAATAATAAAAATATAATAATAATAATAATAATAATAATAATAATAATAATAATAATAATATAGCATCACCATATGCTCTTCATCAACAACAACTTGCTATGTTAGCCCACCAGCAGTACCTACTCATGGTTGTTGCTGCCAAATCAGGTGATTTGCCAAATCTTACTGTGAATGGAGGCCAAGGGAAACAACGTAATTTAATCCCCAATCAAAACTGGGCAAATTTCGGCTATCAGTTTCCCAGAAAGCTACTGCGACACCACCTCTTGGAAAAGACAAACTAGAGAAATATTTAAATAAGATATATAATAAGTATTCATATTTGATTATTTTCTATACACATATGGATAGACATTATTTGTAACCGTTTAATTGGTGAAATAAATAGATTGGAAAACATGGGATTGGGAGCACCAATTCTGGGTGGCAATTCGTTTCAAGTTCCAACATCATATAGGTATGAGTATG